CCCCCCCCCCCCCTCCGGGGGCTAAATCAGAAGCGGATCAGGTTTAACTTGCAACTTTAACTCAAACTTCCGTCTTCGAGTGGCTGTGAAACAAAACGATCGTAAAACTACAAAAATGAAAACCGTAAACTCTTCAAAATCTCAACTAGTCCTTGAGTTTGTTCCGTCAATTAGACCATCGTTCCTTACGGTGGTATTAGTTTTGGTTTGCGGATGTCTCTGGGTGAAAAATGAAGCAACAAACGAACGACTGATTTCACTGGAATCTCGTATTTACTGTGTTCCTTGCACTAAGCGTGGCACCATTGATAATCTTGACAGGATGACTTTCTCACCGACAAAAGATATTGCAATAGACCTTTCCAAGAAGATGTAGACCCAAGTTTCAGATGATGGGAACGGCTATACCTCAGGTAAAACTTATTCTTACTCTTCTTACTTGGATGGCCTTGTGTCTATTGAGAATGTTTAGAACTGCTTTTATCCTCCCTCGGTTAAGACATAACCTTTCATGACGTGAGTTCGCGTTAACAACACGGGATCTTTTGCAACTCCAAAATAATATTAGATTTTAACTTAGACTGTATGAAACTGTTTTGTAATGCTCCCTATATTTCAGTAATTATGCCACTGCCATTGATAAAAACCCGAAGAGATCTACAGTGTAAATGAAGCTGAATTTATAAGTAATGTGTCTACAAGGGCCGAACAAGATTCCTTGACGCTTCAGACACATAGTCGATATCATTACTTTACAACTTCATGCATGTGCTTCTGGTTTGAGGTTATTTAGGGTCTCGGGATTGAAAGGTATATATCGTGACCAATTTCAACCAATAAGGACCCAATTCTTGGCAATTCATTTTTAGATTTATCTGTTTGCTTTGGATTGAGCTATTTTCGTTTAGCACTTTCTGGATAAATTTTTAAATAGTATAGAGAGTTTAGATCAGTATAGACAAAAGGCGTGTATTAAGAGATTATTCAGAACATGATATTTCCGTTTCTTTCAAAGGAGTTCAGTTTAATTTGAAAAACCTTGCTTAACCCTTACGGGATTACAAGAGCGATTGAAAGTAGGTGTGTTCAAGACCTCAGTTGGCTTGAAATTCGTGCGAAGGTCTTAAGGTTCGATTCTTGTTCCTTTGTAAGTAACCTTTATCCGGAAAAGTCAGCCGTATCATTCTTTCGTTCATTCTCGATCTTGTTCATTTTTACAATTTATCATTGGACAGTGGCAGCCAACGAGAACATAGTTCAAAACCATTTAAACATAGCATTGTTAAACGTATATTAGTATTTAAACGGTACATATAGGCATATCTTAATTCCCTAAAAATTTTTCATCTTTTCGAGCTTCCTAGCAGAAAGTCTAGTGATCCGAAAATTATAGGGATCAAACTTACCTTTTCGAAAATTTCAGCCAGAAAAAAGGCTCCCGAAAATTCTAGGTGACCTTTTTAGGGTAAAAATCCGTTAAAAAGTGGGCAATTATATCATTTTTTAGATGTTTGAAAATCCTTGGAGAAGCAGGCAAGTAAGAAATTTTACAACAAATGTTCCGAAAATTCCAGATCTCAAATGGTCTTCCGAACAGATATTTTCCGAAAATTGACGTTGGGTGCCCCTGATTGGATAATTAAAAGGTATTATCTAATTTTACTTGACTGCAGTCAGCCCGTTGCCAATAAAGGTGTCAGCAATAATCCGGGTAAGAAAGGGAAGAAACGTTTTGAACAACACTTCAACTGGCGTCACCATACAAGAAGTGAGAAAAGAAATCAGCAAACAGTTTGAACAACTTATGCCCACCAAGTACTGTAAGTCAAGTGAGAAGGTCTGTCCTGCAGGTCCCCCCGGATATCCTGGTCCCATTGGAGCGAGGGGACCACGTGGCAGGAGGGGACCAAAGGGAAAGAAAGGTCCTCAAGGTCCCATGTGACCTCCTGGAAAATCCGGAAAAACAGGAATAACTGGTCCCGCAGGACCGAGAGGAGAAAAGGGAGATAAAGGAGAGCCTGGGCCAAAAGGCATTCCGGGACCACCTGGAAGGCCTGGAAAATCGATATCTGCTCCACAAGTGATGTTGTCACCGGCAGAGCAGACACGAGATGAGGGTGGAAATACGGCATTTTATTGCACGGTTGTAGGAAACCCTTCCCCAGCCGAGGAATGGCAATTTAAGGGCACAAAGCTTCTGTCAGGTGCAAAATATCTGATTAAAGAAGGAGAGTTGATCGTTAGAAATCTGAATTACAGCGATGCTGGACCGTACACATGTGCTGCCAGGAACATTCTTGGATCGTCTGAAGCCACTGGCAACTTGACTGTTCGAGGTAAGAGGAACATTTAACTTAGAGTTTTGTTATATCTGGCTGCGTGATTTTGTAGGCTTCTTTGTGCTCTGAGAATGCGAGAATACGAGGTTTGAATATAAAAATGGCACTGTTGTTTAGTCGTTTACTTTTATCTCTTCCTTCATTTTTTTCTTATTTCTTAAGCAGTGTATAACGCCAAACTTTAAATTTACTCACTCATACAACAACAACAACAACAACATCAGCTTTATTTGCATGACTATAATTATTTACTTACAGTATTGCAAAAAGCTTTAACATAAAGTTAAAATTTATAACAATGATAATGCAATGCAATGATTACTACAGTCAATCAAGTGTCATCAGCATGATTTGATAATAAATTAGTGCGTAAATCATTACATAGTGAGACAAATGATCAAGGACTATAGATTTCGCTCATTAACACTAGGCTAGTAGTCACGAGAGTAGTTCAACGTTTGATCTGAGCCATACAAACATAAAGACAATAAATAATGTTAAAGATATTAAAACATGACAGGAATATTTGGACCTTACATGAACGCGATGGCACACAACACCATCCTTCTCCTCCTCTGCTTTTAGCTTAGACCACCCGGAGAGGTTACTTAGGTTAATTTTTGCTAAATATGTGCCGCTGGTCTCTCAGAACTCCTACCCCATTATATTCTATGCATGCTGGTCGATCATGTATTGGCTCTATTTTTAATAGGTCTTCCAGTCTTCACGAAAATTCCACCTTCATTTGCAACACCAGTTCAAGGCACTACGTTTCAAGTAACATGTAAAGCTGACGGATATCCTCGCCCCGCGATAACCTGGACTAGAGTAGGAATGCCTTTACCTGCTGGGAAGACTAGTATAAACCAAGGCACACTTACGATTAACAACTTGACTCCCGCTGACAACAGTTTTTACGTCTGCGTAGCTACTAACATTATGGGAACAAGGAAGTAAAGAATCAACCTAGCAGTACAAGTGCGTTCAGGTTTGTATTGAAGGTACCGTCTCACTCTGAGGCTACTCTGTATATACCTGCTTCAATAAAAGGTTGCTTTGGAAATTGGGCACTGGCCATTTGGGCGTACGGAACTCAGCATCCATTAAACAATAGCTTCCCAGTGCGCAATTATACAATGCCCAAAGCAAGAATCAGATACCCTTAGATTAAACGTTCATTTCAGTAATGCAAATTTTCTTATCCAGCTTGCGGTCTTGGTTAAATAAGAGTGTTAAAACATTATGAAAGACAAATTTTTTTCTAACTTTGCCACTACGAGAACTATACGGCTATACCGAAATATATCGCAGGGTGATCTATTCGAAGACCGCTTTACTTAATTTTTGTTTTTGTTGTTTCTTTGTTTGTTTGATTATTTTTCAGGCATTCAAAAACCATCTAATCACTGCTAAAGCCAGACAAGAGCTACTATCATTGCGAGTGTATGTTGCGCTTACAGAAATTTGCAACTTAAGACAATTATGCTTGTTTACTAGAGTTTCAATGATCTTAAATGCTTAATCTTCCTTAATAGCGCGCAAATCACGTACATGCATATGCATACATACTTTCTTTAGTCACTTGCAATGTTACTCTTTTTCTCAATAAATTCAGTTGTTTTAACATTTTAAAAACTTTTTACCTTGTCATTTTATGGACTTTGACTTTCAATACGTAGGATTTGAAAGCTCAGTCATTGTGGGAAACAACAGAAATCACTTGAGCTTATTAAAAAACTGGCTAGCAACTGTGGCAAAAAGCGTGAATTCTCTCTGGAAGCGCTGTTGGCGTGCATCCGTAGATGGCTGGGCTGCAAGTACATTTCACTCACGATGTGACAGCAAGGGCCCGACTGTGACAATAATAAGGGTCGGGAGATATATTTTCGGAGGATACACAAGTATTTCATGGAGTAAGTTAACATTGTAAGCCAAGGCAGTGGCATTTACACCATTGACGTAATCAGTTGGCATTGATATCTTCAGCTAAAAGTGCAGCTTGGTGCTTAGTAATATGCAATAATGTGACTCTACCTTTCATACATGGCTAAGCAGTGGCGGACAAAGGTTCTAGGTTAATAGCTCTAGATGTGGGCCCATATCCCCTCGTTCCTCAAGGAGCGAGGACCGCCCCTCCTACACTCACATGGTATGAAAGAACGCCATCCCCCACCCCTTTTCTAGAGTTCTGGTTCTGCGGATGATGGTAAGTGATGCATTTCTAGCTTGTCAAAACGTGCCCAAATTCTAGGCTTATACTCTAATAGTAATAATTTTGAGGTTCTAAAATATCGATATTGTTCTGACTTTCTTGCCACCCTGCTATCTTCCATCCTTCAATTCCCATATTGCAAAAGTAGCGACTAACGTACTTCATCGCAAGTTTCTGGTGAAATTTGCAAATTTCGGCTAAGAAAAAACACTCGATCTAATTTGTTTTATGAGAGTAAGGTATTTATTGTCTTTAATTAATAATACTTATCATCATCATCGTTATCATTATGACAGGCACAAAGACAATGTCGCTAACTTATCTTAGAAAAGTTTTGTTTCATTTCTTTTAGCTTCTGACGGTAGCCGGTATCAATACGACTCAAAAGCCTTCTTATTTTCGCTGGTAAACAAGCCAGGATGGGCACCTGTCAAATTGTCTCAGTCAGGGAAATATAGTTCTAGCAGAGCACATTCCATATTCTTTCGCTCAACCTATGGGCCTACATTAGGAGGAGGACATGACATTAACATAAAAAACTACGCATCATCTAAGAGCAATTCTTACAGCGACCTTGGCTATACTTACAGCCCACCGAGCGGATACAGCTACACAAGCACCTTCGCACGAACATTCCTGGCAGGAACATACAGGTTCACACCAGACGAAGTTGAAACCTTTTACGAAACAACCTTATTAATATAATTCGTGACACCGGCTTTGATATTTGAGCTGAACTTATTGTACAAGTAGACGCTTAGAGGTGAACGAATCTGCAGCACTAAGCAAGCCCCTTATATCTAAATCACGACACAATCATTAGAACGTATCACTAAAACCTTTTACAAACAAACGAAAAATAGAATTGGCAAAAGGAGAAATGATTTTGATATCTGTAACTGGTCCAACTGCTCTGATTATGAATGGCTGATAAAAGCGTGTTATAAAGCCTTAACCCAACCCTAATCTATTTTCACCTGGGTACGAGTCTGGGGGCAGCTATACTGTCATCTGTCAGAAAACAGTTACATCCTTATCATGAGGGCAACGAAATCTCAGCTTCCGAGTAAAGAAAAGTTGAAAAAAAAAGCAGTACAATGAGATTTTACTGAACCAGGCTGTCCTCACCCGCCGTTTGTAACTGTGGCTTGGCCTTCATAAGTGTTATAATAATCCATAAGTAAACTTAAGAGTCTTAAGGGATAACACTGATCAAAGTTTGGTTTTACTCGGTCCGCGTGCCTATTGCGATACCACTAAATAAATATTAGTAATCAAAGATTAAGATTACTAATGGCTTAATGCGGCAACACTATCTCATATACAGGAATATACTTTTTATTTTATTTTATTTATTGATTTTTTTTTTTTTTTTCGGTAAAGCAAAAAATGATTTTATTAATGAATTCACGACATTACGTAAACCGTAATGTTACAATTTGATACTGGCGTTGCAACTTTACGTAAAAAGAAGCTAAACTACACTTTATCCTGCAAAAAAAGTCAATATGTATACTCGACAACAGAAACTTGATACAAATAACAATAACAGACAGAGAGAAAAACGGGGAGGAATAGACTCAATTGAGACAACATTTGATTTTTTCCCATTTTTTGTCATTGAATTCCACCTTATTCTGCATAAATGCTATTCTACCTTCTATATTGTGTACGGTATCGCTCCGATTTTTGTTTTTAAGACCCGCATTGCTGGTTTAACACCATTTTATTTACAGCGATAAATGTAAAACTTTGCCACTAAAATAAGATTGTTTACAATGACAAAATCTTCTCCTGCGTTGACTATGCCAAATAAGACGTTAAAAAACGACAAAGGCCGGGTTCCAATTGATATTACATTCCATAAGCCAAGAACGGAGCACTACCCAGAAGGATCTTGTTATTTCGCAACTGTAAAACAGATACTCAAGGGATTCAATATCGTTTTTACAAAAGGTACATTGTGGCGAATCGATCATCTTAATTTTAGATAACTTTTCATTCGTGGAAACAATGTTGTTCAAAACCATAGTGGCATTCTCTATTTTTGTTTCTAGCGACACTTTAAGGGAGAGCGAATATGTTTCGTTCCAATCAAATTGAACATCAGGAAATTGACCCTGAAACCTCTTTTGAGCAGATGGAGGAGTTTGTTTCGCCATTTTGAATGCATGGTAAAGAGAGTTTCAGGCGGCACCCAACGACCGAATGTTTCCAAATACGCCAGAAGTGTCTCAGATGATTTTTCTCTATGTTTTAGAAGCCTGATTGGTTAATTTGGAGTTGCCCTAAAAACAATTTATCTGTTCGGAGTAGGCGAACTTTGGTCGTCACTTTTTCGTCTCATCCGAAAGCGTTAGCTACCCTTATGGGTGCGGTCGAAAGTTCGAGGACATGAAGTAGCCTCGCTTTCATCAGAAAATTCTAGAGGACGTTTTGTCTTTATACCGAAAGTTGTAGGAGACCTTTTTGAACAATAATTGCAATATCTTGGTATTAAAATGTGAGTAACACAACCTCTAAAAATCGTAGTAAAGCTATTAGAAAACCTCCTAATATTTTAGACGAATGGAACGGTTATCCAGAAATTTTTAGCTTCTCTTAAGCTTTAGAAATTTCTAGGCAATATTTGCTCTTTCGAAAAGATATTTTACAGAAAAAAGTCGCTGGGTGCCCTTGGATTTTGGCGCAACCGAAGACAGATCGACATCAGCGCCATCAATTTTAAGGTAGACCTTGTTCCTCAATTCGGGACGAGTCTAATGACACGTTTTCTCCATTCAACAGGTACCGCATCGATAAGACCCATTAACTTAAAACCGTCAATCGGAGAGTGGTCCCTGTTAACCCTTCTAACGAAAAGATCGCCTACAGTTCAAATGTCTTCTTCCAGGAGATGCTTTTCAAACACCGAATGCTTCCTGATGATAATGTGTTCATTGTTCCAAATTACTTGGTTCGCAGCGTCCTCGTATGAAAGAATATTTTGTTTATTTAGCCGAGACCTGAGGCATCTAGACATTCTTTATAAATACGCGGAAGGTAAATTGGGAGTTTTTTTTTTTTTTGTATCGAAATTACAGTGGAGGATGAACATACCCCCTACCCCAGAAAGGAAATAATCCAGGGTTATTTTCCAAGAGCTATGGTATTCCTCGTCTGCGTAGTTTTTTAATACCGTTACTTTCAGAGCGCAAATCATTTAATGAATATCTAACATTTTCAAACTACCATAATTAATATCATTTATTAGCGAAGATCGTTTGATTTTATCATTTCCTTTCCAAAAAAAGTGATAAATCAACTTGTTGATTTCTTTAACGTGGTCTTTATAGGTACTGAGATCAACGCTGCTTTGCTAAGAAATTTCGGGATAATAAAAGACTTAATGCAATCTGAATTTTTCCTATCAGGGTAATATAAGGCCCCTACTTTTCCAGCTATTTAAAGTTCCCTGGATTGATATAAAGATGGACTCACAGTTGACCTTCAATCTAGCTGGGGTATCATAATCACAATAAACTCCCAATATTTTGATCATATTACGCATTTTGTGAGTAAGAACATCTTGAACAAGACTGTGCGGACCAATAGCAAAAATCTCTGTTTTTTCATCTGATTTATACGAAGGCCTGAGTATCTGGCAAAATTTTGTAAATATGTCAGAAGTTGAAAGTATGAATTGGTATCTCTCAAGAAGCAGGTCATATCGTCGGCAAAAAAGGTCGTTTTGATTTCTTTCCCATTAATTAAAAAGGCTTTTATTATTTTTTTTCTTGAATTTGACATAAAAGCGTTTCCAACGCAAGAATGAACAGTAAAGCAGAGAGAGGATCACCCTGTCTTACCCCACGTTTAACAAAAAAGATATCAGTTGTAAAGCCATTATTTGGTACACAGGTTGACAAGTTCCTATAGAAAGTCCTAATCCATTAAAGAAAATTCGGGCGAAAACCCATTTTCTGTAAAACCTGATATAAAAATTCGTGGTTCAGCGAATCGAAAGCCTTTTCAAAATCAATGCGAGTAGAATGCCGGATTCGTTCTGCATCATTATTTTGCCCATTTCAAGAACGTCATCGATAGTGTGTACCGCGTCTAAAATTCACCGTCCTTTTATGAAACCGTTTTGATTGGCGGGAATAAGTAATGGCATTACTGCTCCTAATCGTCTTGCGATAGCCTTGGACGCAATTTTCACATCCACATTAACCAATGAAATTGGTCTTCAATTTTAAGAAATCTTCTATCTTTTTCCTTCTTTTCTAACAGCGTACATCCTCGGAGACCCAGGGGCAGTTAGTCGGGTCGATAAAATGTTCGTGGTGAAAGTTTACCGTAAGATCGGTAAACTTTCACCACGAACATTTTATCGGCCCGAGTAACTGCCCCTGGGTCTCCGAGGATGAACAGTGTAATGCTTGTTTTGTGAACCAGATAACTCTCCATGCTGGTGAGAGTAATTTAGGGCATCTACAAGTTTTTACGAATAAGATGCCAAAATCCCAGGTGCTTGCAGTCACGTGACGATCACCTTCTAGCAGTGTAGCAATTAAATTTACCAGTGTTGGGTTACTACCTCATGTAAGCCCTACGTATAAAATCTACTGCACATCAGCATCCTTTATGAATGAGCTATTATATAAAATACTTAACCATTATTCCTCGAGCCCGAGTCCAGTAAGATACGCTGTAGGTAGATTTTCAGTTGAACAACACTGGCGACCATAAGAAAGGGATAAGCACGCATAAAATCTCGTTCCCTTTAGTTCCTGAATGTCTCAAGAAGTCACATATAAGACTGTCAATTTCATGATCAGCATATAACGGGTGTGCCAAAGAAATTAAGGAAAATTTCTAAAAAAAACCATTTCTTTTCGTTCAAGGCTCATAATTGTTTCAAAAAGTCCTTGTAGTAACGTGTTCTTTCAGAATCGAAATCAGGTTATAGGCATTATAAGCATGAGTACGCTAGTTTTGAAATTTGTTCGTAGATAGAGGATATTACATGGCCGCGCGGAGATACGAAATTTCTCTTATTCAGAAGAGCGTCAATCCCGACTTATTGGAGCAGGTGTTCTAACTCCTTGTAGTCAGGTGACAGGAAACGAGCGAGGAAGTTAACCTTCCTTCAGTGCAGCGGAATAAAGTAGACACCCCCATAAAATTCACGGTTTTTTTTATGCGGGTATCTACTTTTTTCTAGTGTGGAGTATATTCAGCCCGAGCCGGAAAAACAACATTCTTAAGACTCCACAATACCGCAAAAGCCTCAGCAACTGATTACTCACTCCCATAGCATAAGAAGCCCACACACTAGGAAAATACCGCTTTGCTGTAATTCAAGGTTACCGAATATGGTACTGTCAGTATATCACATAGCAAGTCAGTACCTGAAATACGCTACCGTCCACCTTAGAAAAGCGGAGAATTAGTTCCTTCAAGACTTCTACAGAGTCCACGTAATTCTCTTGATATACGTAAGTGTGAAGTATTATTGCAATGTTACATCTTCTGCTTAATTTATGTAATTGTGGTCGCAGAAATTGAGACTCCATCATCAGATCATACAGCCTAAAATAAGAAACTGTTATATCAAGCAGCTAATTAACTAACGTACTAATCAGGCGTTCAACCGACAAAGAAACTTTTCATTCAGCAGTATGACAAAGGTTTAATACGATCTTGGTGGTTTTGTTTGATTAATTAAATTTACTCCAAGCTAGGAAACACTGAGAGCTGCTTTCACTGAAATCAAAATCAACAAAATCATGAGTGCAGAACAAAGAAGAAAAGATGTGAAACACTTATCGGCATTTCTTTTCGTGTCTTGCATTTACGTTTTAAACCCACACGGGATCGGGGAAAAGTTTATAGAGCTACGATTTGTTTTTCACGATTCTCTCTATGTCAATATAACACCACTGGAAACTCTTCTTGTCGACGACAAGTTCGGCTGTAGCTTTGCTTGTGTTCATAACAAACTCTGTAGTTCCTTCAACTTGGCAGAGACGTCAGCAGAAAAACTTTGGTGCGAGCTTCTTCCATCTAGCATCTATAACAACACAGGGAAAATCGTTTTAAATTTTAAATTTGACCATTACAGCGTACAGGTTTGTAGCAAACCTACAATAATTGATGTAGCTTAATATATAATTGCGTATTTTTTACAACTTACGGTGAACCACAGACGAGAATGAAAGTTAACTCTCTAGAAGCGAAGATATAAAAGAGCAAAACAATTAAAAAGCGGGTTATTTTTTTTACTTCATTCTTCGGCGTGATTCAGCCACTTAACATATATGTTTTTAAGGTTTATGTCTGGTTGTTCGATTTCTATATTTTTTTGTTTCTTCAAATGTTAGCCGGCATTTTTTTGTAGTCCCGAAGAGCTTTCTAAATACTGTTTGTAACTGACTGTTTTACTTATTACTTCCACCAAAAATGCATTGACTGGTAGAACAAACTATACCAAGAAAATGAAGCTTGAGAGGCTTCGAAAAAAGCTACTAACAGTCAAGATTGTTGGTTGTATTAACAGGCTCGCCGGATTAAAGTGGTAGCATTGATAATGAGGAAGTGCAGAACGTTTGTTTCCATTATAATCACAATCATCGTGTTTTAATGTAATGATTTTTTTCCTGCAGAATCCTTGTACTAATGTTCCTTGTTTGAACAATGGGATGTGCTCCCTGATTTCGTTCAGAGATGGAACGTATAGTTGCACTTGTCTTCCTGGATATTTTGGCGATGAGTGTGAAATCTGTAAGTTAACGTACAATTACTTCAAGTTAACAAAAGCACCTTTTCGAGATATGAACAAGCTCTTAAGATTGAGTTAAAATCCAGCTAGTGGTCTATTATCAATCCTGCGTTCTGATTGTTTAAGCTACCACTAGGCTATATGTTATAGCCCCCTATATCTAGTAGCGAAAAGCGCGAGCTTTTTGACGGCAAAAAAGGATTAAAGTCTATCTTTAACTAGCTAAAAGTTTTTTATTCTCAATATTTTTTACCAATTAGTTGGATTTTCCTAAAACAATTATTCCTCTCGCCCTCATGGCCTCTGAATCAATAGCCCTTTCGGCCTTCGGCCTCATGGGCTATTGACTCAGAGCCCAT